TTGGGCTCCCTGCTCAGCGGGAAGCCTGCTTCTCCCTCTCCCACTCCCCCTGCTTGTGTTCCTGCTCTCGCTGTGTCTCTGTCAAATAAATAAATAAAATCTTTAAAAAAAATAATTTGCAAACATAAAGAGATGCATTAATTACTATTAGTGTTATTACTATGCCAGCACCCACCGACCCTGTGGGAAACCAGGCCGATTTCTGGAGGGAAGCATCCCGCACTGCCCTGACTCAGGCCTTCATCCTCAGCTGAACCAACACGCGGACCCCGGGTTCTCGGCACGAAGTGCGCGACCCTGTCAGGACAGGCCCTTGGCCCGGTCCCAGAGGATCCCTGGAAGAGTGTGGACCTGAAGCTGCTGCGGGGCCCCCGTCTGCAGCCCGAGAAGGCAGCCATCGAGGACCTTATGACATCATGTGGCTCCCCTGACGAGCCCTTCCGGAAGTGAGATCCGCCGCCGGCTGTCGGCTAGCTACCTGAGGCGTCAACAAGGCTTCTTTCACTGACAGACACTCTGATTGGGTTTTCTGTGGCTTGAAACCAAGAGAGTCATCCCGATACTCTTTCTAAACCACAACTCACTCTACCACGTGGTCCTCGTGTGCACATTAGCACTGACCCCTCTCCAGACGCAAAACCAGAGCCTGAGGAAGTCAACCTTAATGAGCTGGCCTTGACAAATTAAATGCCCCTGAGGCTGGAGTTCGGGGTGAAAGAGCTCCCTCTTAGAAGGTTAGAAGATCCAGGTTTTCTAATGCCACAGATCAGGTGCTCTTCTCCTCAAATTTGTTTCAGAACCCTTTCTTTTTAGCCAAAGCAGCGAAGCCCACAGCTCCCAGTTTCGTGAGGAAAACAACGGTCGATCTTCTCAGTTCTCCCTGTTCATTTATCCCGAATTCTGCACCACTATAAAAAATGACTAAAACGAAGACCAGGACTGAATGTGTAAAAACATTTTAAACACAAAAGCGGAAAGTGAGAAAGGATACGTACCATTTCTTCCTCATAAAAAGGAGCTACACCTTCACTTTATGAATCTTGGCAACAAGACAAACCAGTGCGGGGTCTGGCCCCCAGTCGTGAAACTATGCCCCACCAGCTGGCGTCCGTCTCCGTGGCTCCCGCAGAGGGCCCCTGCTGGGAGGCTCTCATTTCGGGGGAAAGTGCCCTCACCAGATCGCCGACCCAGAAGGTGACAAGGAGCAACCCCCCCGAGGTCAGATGGCCCCTAAGGCAAGGAGTACACACTGCCAGGACTCCTTGCCTTTTCCCATCCTTACATTATTACACGCAGCTAACCAACTGTAACTACAACATCCAGATAAATGCTCGGTCTCACTTCACTTTCCTAAAGGATGTCTCGAGGCCGGACTGAGGCAATGCAGCCGCCATGGCTGACGAGGGTTTGTGGAGAGGAGTCAAGGGCATTTCCTTTCTGTCTGTCGGGGGACAGTCTGGGGTGACGACGGGGCAGTGACTCTCACCCATAACACATCTACGAGCACACATGAAAATGCTAACGGGGTTAAAACAATACTAAAAGTTTCACCTGTCTCCGTTCATGATGATGCCCTCTATGGCCTCCCATTAAGAAAAAACCAACTTTTACAACCTCACGAGAGCAAACAGATAAGCATGCCAACGGACACAGATGAATTTGTTATACCACATTCCAAACTTTACTACCTCGTATGCTGTTCTTTCTGTTGAGTTTTATGATTTATTATTCAAGTAGCCTGAGATGGGTGGTCTGCTTGTGCTTTGATGAGCACGTCAAAGGTCACGGCCCAATCCAGATACATGACCTTACATGGCTTTACATGCTGTGTCACCACATGGAAACAAGCAGGACTTTGAGACACACTTAGAGACACGGCCATATCTAAATAGATCATATACATTTGCCATACAACTGAAGTAACCATTATGTTATGGAAAGTGCTTATCAAATTTATAAAATTAAGAAATATAACCAACATACACTCATTTAAAACTGAAGATGTGGTCATTCCGTTTCCATTTCATGCTTCTGTTCTGATGCATAGAAAGCACAGTCCCGGGGTGGAGCTTCCAGCTCACAGGGGCCTCTGGTAAGTTCCACAAGGGCAGGAGCCTATGCGACTACTGCCAGCTCATTACCCCTGACACACAGTAGCTTCTCGGTCAGTATTTGTTGGATAAATAAAGGGATAAATAAAGGCATTCACATTAAAATTAATGGGCTCAGACTATTTCAAAACTACAGAGGTTATCACCACCGTGCCCTTGCTTTTATGAAGTAAAGCGCCGACGGCAAACATGCTAGGTCTTGCAGGCCACAGATCACTGCCGGAGCTACAGACCCTGGTCTCTTTCACAACCGTTCGATTCTGCTGTTGCAGCACAAAAGCAGTCACAGACGAACCATAAACAAATGAACATGACCGTGTTTGAATAAAACTTTGCTTACAGAAACCAAATTTAGCCATAACCACACCCAAATCCCACAGGAACCACTTCCACGCAATGAACATTCTATTCCCTAAAGGTTCGAAATCGGTGAGCTTGCCGAATTCAGCCAGACACATTTTACTGGGTCAAAAACTGGGCAATGCACATGTGCTTGTACTCCGCAGTGCCCATCCCCCCTTACTGAGCAACCCCCCCCCCCCCGCCCAGTTCCTGTCCTGTTATAGGCCCGGCCCAAACAAGCCTCTGCATCTACACGCTCAACTCTGCGGCACAGCTGGCTTCCAGGGGTGTGGCCCACACCCGCACCTGTGGGTCCATACCCACAGCACAGGTGCTCCAGAGCAAGCCCATGACTTTCCCCATCGAACATCTAATATCAGCACCTAATAAACTTTATTCACCAGCGGCCTGGTGTCTGATCTGTCCCCTCTGAGGGGGAAGTGGCAGAGGAGAGGGGGGAGAAAACGTGTTGTCAGCAGGGACCAAGGTGGAAAGGGACGTGCTGAGCCCCAGGAAGAGCAGCAGGAATCACTGCAGGACTGAGAAACCACACAGGCTCTCCCAGCCGTGCCTCCACCTTCTGTCTGCCCCTGGATTCCTCTTTCATGGACAGCAGAAGCTGGACACCCAGGACGGCCTCCACGGTAGCCATGGGGATAAAACCCCGCGTAATCCTCATTTCTGCCAGGGCAACCCCCGCCCCCAGCCCCGCAGAAACTACCTGCATCTAATAGAATGAAGAGACTGGTTTATTCTCACACAATGTGACACTCCATAGCAATGAAAATGAACAATCTGTAACTATCTGCAACAATATGGGATAAGCTAATACACTGTTGAATGAGAAAAGCCAGGCACAAAACAGTACGATCTGCATTATATACGACACGCACACTCTCTCTCTCTCACACACACACACACACACACACACAAAGAACAACAGACAATATGAAATTATGCTCTTAGAAGTCAAGAGCGTGGCTACCCATGGAGCGAGGTGGTGTGTAGGGTCCAGATGGGGGCATGAGGCTGTGGTGGAAATGTTCTGCTTCTTGATCCGGGTGCTGGTCACAGGGGAGTGCTCGGTTTCTGAAATTATACTGACCTGTATATGTAACAAGACTGCACTGTCTGTGTGCATACCCTAGTTCAACAGACAGAGAGAAAAAAACATTACCCCAGGGGCAGAGAGCGAACTGAAGCCCCCACACGGGGCCCCAGACGCCTTTCTCTTCTCAATCTGTCAAAGCCTTTTTGCCTCAAGTGGAGTCCCATTTTTTTCCTCCTCTTCATCATCTTTTCAAAGCCTAACCAGAGGCCAAAAAGCAAAAAAACCAAACTAGATCATTCTGAGAGCCCTACAACTCCAGTCACAGCTCCTTCGGAATGCTGGGGTCTTTCCAAGAAACTTCACGGCTCTCGCTAACTTTGTGTTCTAAATAAAACACAAGAATCTTAAGAAGCCTCCACTGCCCTATAAGGCTCACTTATAAACAAACTTCGTCTAAAATCATGCTCTAAACAGGCAACTGGAGCTCATAAACATCTATGAAGAAATGCTTGGACTCCCAGGGCCCAGTGAGAGAGAGCCCATCAACATGCAGCAGAGGGCAGCCCTTGGGACAGCACACAGCTACGCAGAACCACCGAGTGGTAGCAAGTGACTGTGTGGTCGTGACGCGTCACCATCTACACCTCTAATCACAGCAGAACACACCTGCAGGATTTGATGGGAGTTTCAATTCGAGTAGTCAAATCATGGTGCTGAGAATCACTGTGAATGTCTTGAACATTGGTTTCAACACAGTAACCTCAACTTGACATGACTGCATATCCCTGGCACATTCTCTTGGGAGTTCAGGCTCAAAACTCCGTGAAGATCTTCGATCCCATTCAACAACAGCAACTAGTCTACTTGTGAAAGCCGCAGGGACACCAGCCTCAGGAGCGCAGACAGGCAGAGCACGCGGAACAAGGAAAACACGGCCATCCTCTCGTGCAGGGCACATGGGCAAGTGCAAATCCCAATCCTTTATGTGCAGACTGTTCTCACACCAAACAGGTTCACACTGCCTGTCTGTCCTTTAAATAAATCACTGCTTAAAGATTTTTGAAAACCTGACTTCATTTACTTCGGCTATGAAAGGATCATAAATCCAAAATTACACCTTTCAATAGGAAATTATAACCGTGTTTAATTAAATGATTCTACGTTGCATAGTTTATGAATGTTCTAAAATGCCTCTCAAGGGAAAATATCCTTATTTTTAGAAGCTACATCCGAAAGAATTTAGGATAAAATGTCATGATGCCTACAACTTACTTTTACTTTACCATGCTTCAGCAGGAAAATGTACAAGCCCTCAAACACACACACACACACACACACACACACACACACGCACAGACACACACACACAATATGGCAAAATGCTAACAAGTGTTAAATGTAGGCGGTGGATACATAGGAACTCACTGCACATTCTTCTAACTCTTCCATATGTCTGAAAATTTTAGGATAAAAAGTGCAGAGAAATCCTTACACACCTCTCAAGCGGATGGCCGTCTTCTTTCTCCTAATGAAAAGCGAATGGCTAAATATGCCCAGGGGCGCATTCAAGGCCGTTCATGCTCCCTCACCCTGCAAGCAGAAGCAAAACAACATATTACCACCAAGGATTTTTATTAAATTAAAGCTATTTCAGTTGAGCAAATGTTCTTCATTTATGACAAACCTCTAGATTAAAAAGGTGCTCTGTCTAAATTGCTTTTAAGCAAGGAGAAAAGTGAGGAGAGAAAAAACTGATCCATCCCATCCTGAATGTGGGGAACAACCGTTAGCCTTGGCCACTCTAGAAAGTTCTGGGACAAAGAAATTCCTGATTAAGTATCTCTTAACTCACATCAATTTCAAGGCAGTGACACATTATGTCGCCCAAACCGCCACTCAGAAGAGAAGGGGAGCTTCCAGGGCCGGAGTGTGACTGTGGATTTCTGAGACCCCACGTGAGGCCCCCGTGAACCCTCGGAACCATGCCAGACTGCTGGGCCTCCTGGGCCTCCCAGGCAGACCCACCACGTGCCCAACGACAGCATGACAGTACGACAAGGATGTTCAACTAGAAAACACCGGGGATGAAACCTCTACTTAGATCTTCTGACCCCAAGCTCAAGGCATGTCTCACCATATAGGTGGCCCCCCCACCCCATATGACGCTCTGCTGAAAAGCAACCTTAAGGCCAAGAGGCCGAACACATTCACATGCCATCTGCGGGGAGGGGGTGCACGGCAGTTTGTTCCCTGAAGAATAATCATTCTTGGGACACCTGGATGGTTTAGTCACTGAAGCGTCTGCCTTCGGCTCAGGTCATGATCTCAGGGTCCTGGGATCGAGCCCCACATCGGGGGCTCTCTGCTCAGCGGGGAGTCTGCTTCTCCCTCTGCCTCTGCCCCTCCCCATTCCCCCTGCCTGTGCTCTCTCTCTCCCTGAAATAAATTACTTAAAAAAAATAATAATCATTCTTAATACTACCATCAATACTCTAATTATGATTACCAATTCTGTAACTATTACTAGTAATTAGACTTCCCTTTTAAACACAATAATCTTTAATATAATTGTGACATCATACGTATATTTTTTTCTCCCTTTTTTCTCAAAAGAGCACACTGTTGGCCAAGGGAAGCAAAACAAGCATCACCAGAGGCGCCTTTTATCTTGGCCGCAACAAAAGGCAATTATCACTTGCTGTTGAGGATATTTCCTCTCATTTTTGTAGCCAGCCAAGTCCCGTATAATGACACGCACGGCTCTACCACTGAGGACAGAGGCAGCATCAGAACCACTGAGGAACACGTGGTGTCCCCTTATGGCTTAAAGGGGTCCTGCATGCACTGGTCACCACAATCCTGCACAAAGAGGTTTACAGGTATTGATGTCCAACGTGTGAAGGCGCCACATACGAAAGCTTGAAGAAAGTGAGTCAGGGCCCCTGTGCCTGGCTTTCAGTCCCGTCTCCTCCACCCGCCAGCTCGATGAAAAACCAAGAGAACTGCCTCAAGCTGCTTCCTCACCTGGGGACTGGGGAGCACCTGTTCCCAAGGATGCTGCAACCCGCAAGGAGATAGGATGGGTCTCGATGCCTCACACGCCGGGGCACCTGGACCCCAGGAGCACTCACCAGGAGGTTAGGCCAAAAGCTACCCAAATCCAAGGGAAAACACATGACGCTCCTTTGGAAACATCAGTTTTACTCAGAGATTTTGGTGAGGATAAGCATGGAACAGCAGTTGAAAACTTGCTAATAAAACAAACATGCATTTCGAGCACAATGTAATCACAGCATGAATTAAGCTCAAACTCCTATCCTTACTGGTCCAGTTCATTTCCAGCTACACCCTCACTTGTAGGGGAAGGGAGTGAGGGGTGGGCTCTCCTTTCCCATTAAAGGGGGTGTCGGGAGAACAGTTGAGGCTGGTAAAGACTTCAATATCACGGTGAGCCCAGGACACTACCGATGGCCCTTAGCCCAGAGAATTCTCCTCAAAAATCACGAGTCCCAGATTTCCACCCGATCTAGGGACACAGGTAGACGGACATCTAGGCACACGTGGTCCCGTCTACACCACACGTCCTGGGGTCTGTACTCCCCGGGTCCCTCTCTGCCCTGCCCACCCCCACCCCCTGCAGGTGCTGTCAGCAGCGAGGGCCCCCTCCCCCCAACAGTCAGCCCCCACCACGGACTCTACTCCAGCCCCACACTGCAAACACGTGCGGCACCCACATCCTTGTCATGTCGATGAGTGCCTGCACCATTACTAACGCAAAATCAGCTTCCCAGTTCGGCTTGTCTATAAAAACTTAATCGTGGGGCGCCTGGGTGGCTCAGTTGGTTAAGCGACTGCCTTCGGCTCAGGTCATGATCCTGGAGTCCTGGGATCGAGTCCCGCATCGGGCTCCCTGCTCAGCAGGGAGTCTGCTTCTCCCTCTGACCCTCTTCCCTCTCGTGCTCTCTATCTCTCATTCTCTCTCTCTCAAATAAATAAATAAAATCTTTAAAAAAAATAAAAAAAATAAAAAAAAATAAAAACTTAATCGTGAAGTAGATCAAGAAGTGCACAAGCACAGGAACCAGCCTTGGAGAAGGCGCCAATGATCCTGCGTCCCACACTCAAGCTCTGGTGCGCCCCCCACCCACCCACACTGAGCAGACGGGGAGCTTCCTGCCCCTCTTCCTACTGCCCACTGAACGCGCACGTCTCTCCATCCAGCTGGGGGAAACGGGAGTCAGATCTGAACGGCTGGGGTCCAGGGCAGCCCCCTCACTCTGTCCTGGGAGGGCCCCTGGCACACCAGCCCTGGGGAGCCCGGGAGCTGCACCTCGAGCCCACCGAGCCTTCTGAGGACGGCTGCTGCCGCGGCTACCTGAGCCACAACCAGATGGGAGACCCCCGAACCAGAACCACCCAGCCCAGCCAAGCTGCTCCCGACGTCTTGCCCACACACAGACCTTGTGAGATAACCAATGTTTGTCAGTGTTTTAAGCTGCTACATTTGGGGTACCATGTTATTCGGCGACCATATGTCAGACTAGAGAATAATGGAAACAAAGCCCATGCACCTGATGCCCCAGCGGCTGGGTCTGGGGGGTTTTATGGAAGACGTGTGTGCCCCTTCCTGACTCCCTCCATCCACTTCCCTGCACAATTAACCACTAGCCCCAATTCTGGTTTAATTCCTCTGCTCGTCCTTATGTTTTCATCACATACATATTCTCAGTATGCGGTTGCATTTTGCCAGGTTTTAAAACCAATGTAAAGTGAAACCAGAGTGTACGTATTAAGACTTGCCTCTTCTGATGCGGATTCTGAGATTCACCCCGGCAACTCACATGGCCGTGGCTGATGATCACCACTATCTATGCAGTTCTCTCTGTGTGAACAGACCAACAGCTCACCGCTCCATTCCGCCGAGGATCACCTGGGGTTTTGTCAGTTTTTGCTATTATGAACAGCACTATTTACATTCCAGTGCCTATCCCTGGGGCACATACCGCGTTTTTCCAGGGTATACACTTAAGAGAGGAGGACTAAGCTCGGGAGTGCGGAGTGTGCGTGTTCAGCTCTTCTAAGTAATGCCAAATTGTTTTCCACTGTGGTTGTGTACAATGTACCCTTCAGCCGCCTTCCCAGTCTCTCCCAAATAAGAGGCATGCTTGTTTTGCTAATTACCAGCAGAGCTCTCAACCAACAAAAGGGAAAGCTTTTCCTATTTGCAGCATCACTACCGCAAATAAATAGTACTCCAAAGTAGTGACCCAGACAGCTGGAACGTATTAGTCACAGGACATCAGCACAGACTTCAGAATAATGATGCAGACTCAGCCAGCACCACACACTGCCCACGGTGTAAGTCAAATTGGATTTTTAGACCGACGTGAAATTCACAAACAGTTTTTCCTCCTGGTGGACTCACATCTGGGGTCCCACCTTATTGAGCTCATCTCAAACGGAAAAAAAATCAACTCACATGCAACCCAGCCAAATTCAAGATTAAAGCAGCAGAGTGGAATCATTTCAATGAAATCGTGCTGGGTTGTGTTTTTAACAGAGAGCTGATTATGTTTTTAATATTTTCACCTATAAGATGAGACTGTCACGTACCATAACTAATCTTAGGTGCAGTAACTCTACAAAAAATACTTGGGCTTTATTTGGGGGGGGGGGGCTTCATATAAAAAAAAGGTCCCTTTTAGTTTAGCTAACTCCATTTCTTAGGTGGCAACAGTCATTTTCACGATAATTATTTGTATTTCTAGTAAAAACACGCTATCAAACTTTTCCCCTGGCATTCAATTCAAGAAATGAGAAATTCTTCCCACGTGGGTAGGAAGGAGAGAGGAAACGTGACTGTGGGTATCCCGGAGGCTCGCCTCCTATACTGAAAACAATGGCACCAGATGACCAGAATCAGGTCATCTCAACTCCACCTCTTGACGGTTCTTCTTTCTTTACAATCGTTTACCCCTGTGAAGTAGGCACTATTATTACACCCATTATACAGATGAAGGAAGCTCGAGGTGCAGAAAGCAATTAAGTTGTGCACAGTCGTGAAACTGGCGAGCGGTAGACCGAGGACCTGGCCCCAGGCCGTCTACTCCAGAATCCACAGTCTTGGATGCTCCTCTGGGCTCCTGCACTTCAAAGGCCTGCTGTGCTGCCGAGGGGATTACAGAGGCCAACAGGGGGATGCACCCCACATAGGGTGAGCAGCACATCCACGCCTGCCCAGGGAAGGACGACACACCAAGTGCTCCAGCAAGGGCACAGGAGAACGCGGGGAGCCCACTGCAGCCCAACCCTTGCTCCCACAGACAAAGCCTCACACACCCCACAACGGATGACCTGACAATTTGTACAAGGTCATTGCTATACCCTTTTGTTTTTGCTCATATTACAGTTTCCTCTTCTTGTCCTACCCTAAACAGAACAACCTTGCCAACCAGATCACCCTTGATGATATTCGTAAAGGTAAGACATTCTTCCACTGGAGCTGAAATGGACTCTAAGTAAACACTTGGCTCATTCAGCTTATCTTGTTTTTGTTTTTAAAGATTTTATTTATTTGACAGAGAGAGACA